ATCATCCTTACACAACGCGAAAGTTATAAAATCCAATGTTATAAATTCCATCTGGTCTTATCATTAACTTATGTATGAGTTCCAAAACAAAACAAATACATTAACTCTTGACCCTACAGACACCTAAAACAATTCCACCCAAAAGCTTTTAAGCAGATAATTCAAAGCAAAAGGTATTCAAAGATGTCCATCGAATGAAACTAAATTTGGCCATAAAAAAAAGGTATTCCTTACCCCCAACGTTAGAGATGAACATTGTCTTCAATGTACAAAGAACAACTACAATGCCTTTCGTGTTCAAGATGAACGTGGAGATAATCACGTGAAGGCATGCATAACGTTTGCCGTGTCTAATAGTCATTGGAAATCTAGTAAAAAAAACAAACTATGTGCCTTTCTTGGCCAATTAAGTGTGCACAGAAATAATGGGTAAACATAAACAACTAAATATCAAACCAAACCAAAGTTATCACAACTTACACATTAACCGAAAATCTAAAATAAATTCAAAATTAAATAGAGAGCTTGGGTTGTTTCCCAAGAAGCGCTTATTAGAGTCGTAACTCGACTTTCAAATCCTTCAATCTGGATCATCTAGAAATCCAAACTCTTCTATCTTTAATGCTACCATCTACATAAAGCTTCAATTGCTCTCTTTCCCGCTTATTCTCAATTTCCTCCTCCAAAGTCCTAAATTGACAACACATTTTTCTAGGGGTAAACGAGGGTATTTTTCTCTAAAGGTCTCAGCTACTTTATCATCAAGGATGCTATCAAAGCAAGTATCTAACTTGGGTGGACATTTCATAGTATCAAAACATTAAATTCAACTTGTTCATCCTCTACCCTCAAGATTAGTTTTCTTTATGAACATCTATCACGTTCTACTCGTAGCTAGAAAAGGTCTTCCTAAAATTAGAGCACCTCCCGATCTTTTTCCATATCTAATACAATAAAACTACCGGGATAAATAGTTTATCTACTTTTATTAGACATCCTCTACTACTCTCCTGGGGTATTTTATAGACCTATCAGCTAATTGAAGATGGATTGTGGTTGGTTTTACTTCCCCTAGGCCTAGTTTCTTATAAATTGAAAATGACATGAGGTTAACACTAGCTCCTAGGTCACATAAAACTTTAGCAAAATGAACATTACCTATTGTGCAGGAATTGTGAAAGTCCTGGATCTCTAAGCTTTTGTGGTAATTTCTTCAATAGCAACGCGCTACACTCTTCTAAAGCACACCGTCTTATGTTCTTCAAACCTCCTCTTTTTGGTGATAATCTCCTTCAGAAACTTCGCGTACTTCAACATTTGCCCAACATGTCTACAAAAGGAATGTTAATGTGTAAATTCTAAACATGTTCGTAACTTATCGAATTGCTTATCCAATCTCTGATTTTGCACTTTGTGAGGATAGGGGAGGTCGTGTCATCATTTGTCGCAACATGGGCATTTTTGTCAATTTTTGCCCCTGTGCCGCAACACAGTGTGGCGGCACTTGGTTCTGCCCTCTTTTTCATCTTCAAGTTTTTCCTTTGTTTCCCTTCTTTGCTTGCTTCCTTCAACTCCTTACCACTTCTCAGCATGTAGCATTGACTCTCTCCTTCAGATTCTTATCATTATAGTCGGCAATGTTCCTTGAACTCTCCTACTAAAATATTGTGGATTTGCCCCATTTGAGTTTCAAGTTTCTTATGGAAGCGGATTGGTTTTGCAATAAAACTTCATACTTTTGGAGTTGACTTCATTCTTTGCAAATCTTTTTCCGGACTCCTCTATGAATTTAGTGAGCACACTCTCCATATTGATCTCTTCTCTTAGGTTGGAACTTGGTGTGGTTTGTGCTCATTGTTGTTACTCCACGCGAAGTTTAGATGTTTTCCCATGCTGGAGTATATGTGCTTAAGTATGTATCCCTTGCCCTTTTTGAAAATTGTTGACATAATGCACTTGTTCAGGTTGAGCAAACAGACTTCCTTCTTGGCAATCTCTAGATATAAATGATTTCCTGCTCAAAATTCACATGTAGAGAATGGTTTTAATAGCATTTACGTTTAGAGCAATCCCAATTGCTTTTGAATGGCTGAAAGTTGAGTAGCCAACGCGGTGTAGCCATCGACTTCATACACTCCTGCTACTCTGCTAGGAGCATTCCTTTCCAAAGGTCTCATGTAATTGTTGCTTGCCATCACCTCAATCCATTTATAGGCTTCCTTGGTGTTTTATTATTCAAAGCTCCCCTACTTGCAGCATCATACTCACTTGTATATTTGGCGCAACCCATTGTGAAACGTCTGCACTTGCGACCATATTGGCAGCCCATGGTGAGGACACCTCCGTAAGAGATCCTTATATCTCTCCCAAGCTTCATAGAGTGCTCCATATCTTGCTGGAAAAAATTAGTGATTCACCCTCATCTTAGCAGACTTGACAGTGGGAAATATTTCGTAAGGAATGCTTGAGCTAACTCATTCCATGTAATATACTTCATAATGGCAGAGAAATCACCAAGCCTTAGCTTTATCCCCAAGAAGAAGGGGAAAAGTCTAACCTAATTGCATCATCAGATACTCTATCGTGTTTGAATGTGTCCATAGCTCTAGAAAGTTTGTGATATGCAGTTGGGATCATCATTAGGTAACCTTGCAAGTGAATCGAATGTTGATCAATTGAATAATTCCTGGATTTATTTCAAAAGTATTTGCTTGAATTGGTGGCCTCCTTATGCTAGATAGCACCCTTCAACAGTAGGACTAGAGTAGTCCTTCAATACTCTTTGAACAATTTCAACTCCTGTATCAGCCATTGAACTAACTCCTCTGTACAATTCAACACTAAAAATATAGAACTAAAAATAAAAATTAAAAAATATATACAAACCAAATTAGCAACTAAACAACTTGTATTGATATTATAATAAAAGCAATTCTCCGAAAACGGCGCCAAAAACTTGTTATAGATTTCACAAGTGTACGAAATCGTGCAAGTAATAAAGTGTAAATTACGGATATCGAACTGAAGGAATTACAATTATCAATTACCAATTAAACTATCCTATCACTATTATACAATCCAAATTGTATCAAAGAAAATCTAAACTAAATTAACAATTGAATTTAAAAAGAAAATTGAAAAGAGAACAATTAAAATAAACTTTGGTAAAAACAAGATGACTAACCTAGGGCATAGACCTTCACACCAACTCTATTCTATGTATCGATCTCTTATACTAATTTTTAAGCTCTTCCTACAGGTCAAACTCCCTAAATTTTCAATAACTTTCTCTCGAACAATTATCAAATTAACCCCTAATTACTAACCCGATATCTCTAATCAGATTACCAATTGGAGATCATTACATTCTATGGAGTTTACCAAAACCTCACAATCACGATAACTTATCTGTAGCGTTGCGTCAACCTATGGTTTTACTACCGTAACCAACTAGGTTCATCTCTCGATCTCAACCTTGTCCATTAGTTCATTCAATTCTTGGGCCCTTAAGAATCAAAGCATTGGGAATAATAGTAAAACTTAGGAAGAGTTCTTAATAAAATTTATATCAAAGATCAATACATAATCAAGAGATTGGGGTACATCTTAGCCCTAGAGAATAAATTTAATTCATAATGAACATGAAAGAAATAATCATCTTTATAAAACAATCATCATGATTTTATAGAAAAGAACAAAAAGAACTTCTCTATATGTAAATCAAAGCTCCAAACTTATGTATCTTCTCTTCTCTGTAGATTTTTCTCCTCTTCTTCCCCCAAAGAATCCGCCAAATAATGCTAAAAGACTTCTCTTTATATCCCACAATGGTTAAAGTTTTATTTTTCTTAATTCATTGGTTTAGGACTCTTAACCTTATTCTCCTACCTAAAAATGGAAACCAGTTTTTACTTTGGTGACTGTGCCCTGGCACTATGCTGCGGCACATTAGCTATTGAAAAAGTTTGTTGCGGCACAGTAGCTACTGGTCTTCTTCCCGCATCATTCACTATTCTTTAGAGATGGTGATTTTTGAACTCGATAACGTGAATTTGGAAAAATGTTAAACAGATAAATGTATCCCTTTGAACCAGCTTTCCAACAGTCAAGAATCGTCTTAATTTGATTTCTACAACTCAGAATATCTCAAAAACCGAGGCATGCTCAAGCTAGAATGTAATCTAGAATCTCTCTTTACTTCAACTTCCATAACTTCTTCAATTCAACTCCAATCTTGATCCTTTGTTTTCACTTGTCACTCATTCCGCCAGCATGATTCTTCATCCGACCATAACATTTAAGCATTATTAGCCTGAAAAACACTCAAAACACCCGTGATCCTGTAAAAGGCAATTATGAAAATAGTAAGCAACTTTACCAAATTTAGCCTAATTTCCCACAATTAACCACTAACAAAATGTGTATTTTCAAGCTCTTATCATTTATTTATATGTACGTTTTCAAAGGTAAATTTAAGCCCTGAATATCTGGGATGCTGGGTGAACATAGAAGCCATAAGCACACGAATCCCACACGTCCAACACACCACAAACACGAGGCAGACTCATGTTAAAAGTAAATAACCTCAAATATTGTTCCCTAAAACGCCCATGCCAACAGGGACTGAAATCATATCTTCTGTATAGTGTATGGTTTATTTGCTTAGGTTATCAGCCACGTCATCAAGGGTTGCATGAAGCTTGCATTTTGGAGGGAGGTTATCGTATCCACGTGTCTCATAAGGCCCACACATGTTGACCCTAAAACCATCTCAACTTGTTAATTTGCCACGTACTACTATTATTTAATCAAAATGATAAACAGACTAAAATACTGACGTGTCGTGAATCATGCTTTTTTATGAAATGCACAAATCCGAAAGTCTACTTTTCACATGCATTAAAATATTATTTACAAATTCTCTCCTATATATAGTCATTCCACTTACATTCTTCACAAAGATTCTCCCGTATAAATTAGCAACTGAGAGAGAGAGAGAGATGGGTTCATCTCATGGAGAAATACGAACAGCTCGCGCTGGGATAAAGCTACTGTTGATGGTAGTGTTTTTGGGCACTCTCATGATGTGGATCATGATGTCTACCAACACTTACTCCCACAAATGGTTGCCTTATTTACGAGCAAAGTATAATTTTTCTAAGTTTTTTGGAGTACAAGGTTAGAACACTTGAAAAATTAGATCTCACTGTTGTGCAACATATTGCTTCATCTTCATATTTATGGTTCTGGCGCCCTAATATCTATTTTGTTAGCGATTTATGATATGTGGTTTGTGTTACAGGTGTAACGCTTTTGATTTACACCTTTCCCATTCTCTTCATTGCTGTCTCGGCCTGCATATACCACCATCTTGGAAAGAAATTGAATGACTATAAACTGGAAAGGTAGCCACTAGCCAGCCTTTTAGCTCTTTTGATGGGAAATACACACTTCAATTCTGACTAATATTCTTTTTTTATTTTTATTGGTTTTGTATCCACAGCACTGACGGCAGAAAAAATATATTGACCTTATGGAAAAAGCCGATGCTCGTAAAAGGTCCTCTAGGGATTGTTTCCGGCATCGAGTTGGGCTTCTTTGTCATGTTCATAGCACTCCTGATTTGGTCTCTCTCGAATTACCTGCATAATAGCTTTGCTCATATCACCCCACAATCAGCGGCTGAGGAAGTTGAGAAAGTGTAATATTATTGTTGATAATTACATATAAACCTTTGATTTGACTATTGATTTAAACATTAATTAACAATAATATTGAAGATTGGAGGTGGTTTTGGCAGATGGCAAGCAAAGTTGGACAGTGCAGGATTGAGGCTAGGTCTTGTTGGAAACATATGTCTTGCATTTCTCTTCTTTCCGGTGGCACGGGGGTCGTCGGTGTTACCACTTTTTGGCTTAACATCGGAGGCTAGCATCAAGTATCATATATGGCTTGGCCACATCGTCATGGCATTCTTCACCGCTCATGGCCTTTGTTACATCATCTATTGGGCTGTTACTAATAATATTTCAGAGGTAAGTAATCTTGTTTAACCTATATATTTTACAATAATCATGGAATTTATATTTTCTCCATTTCGGGTTCTTTTTCCTTCTATTCTGGGAATAATAGTCACTCTACCGTTATGAGAAACAGAAAGCCGTATGGTAGTTTGGGACTACCATTCAACAACATGACAAAATATTTTGATAACAATCAACTGCTTTTATCACTTTATCTTAGGATTCTTAGCCTCTCAAATCACTAATATATACAGAAATAATAACTTTCGTACATAATTATCATATAATCTTCGTAAATTATTGCTAATCACACTCCTAATCCTATGTTTAAGATGTTTAAGTTTTACGGTCAACTGATGAGACCCATCACGTAGAAAATGCCCATAAGTAGAATGGTTGCATTAGGCAGAAGATACCGCCTGTCTTTTTGTTTTAAATAGGACCCACAAGTTGCCTTCTATAGTTCACTTTATAGGTTTTCACATTGTTGGGTTATGATTGCGTCATTGCTGTTGTGGCTCTTTTTAACTTCAAATTTAGCTGCTAAGTGTAATACTGTCGACTTTAACTTATGGGGTAGGAATCTAGTAACATGTGTGTACCTTTGACTGTGGAATTTTATTGGGATGAGTTAATGGTTTCTTTGTCCGATGCCCCGACCCAGTGGACCACCTGATTGGATGTATTCACTTTGGCCTAATTTTAAAGACGTACGTGTCACCACTTGTCCACCCATATCAAATCTTCAAGCCATGATAGAAAATTTTACGCTCAAAACACCACAGTGGCGGCCCCATTAATGTCGTAATCTTGTTTTATATGTGGATTTTTAGGATACTCAAAACAAAAGATAGTAGCTTCATTAAAGAAATAAAATTATACAATTTCACTATTCGTTTTCAATAGGCAGAATTCTACGTATATGTACTTGGGGATTTTTTTTTGTCTTTCGTATTTGTTTTAAAAATGAATTTAAGACTCTTATGCACTAAAACATCAGTAAAATTTCATTCCAGTTCCAGCATAGTTTTTATTTTACTCATAATGGGCTAAAGGATTTATAATGGTTGATTTAATGCAGATGGTAAAATGGCATAAAATTGGCATATCAAACGTTGCCGGAGAGATATCTTTGGTCTCCGGTTTAGCGCTGTGGGCAACAACCATTCCTCGCGTACGCCGCAAGTTCTTTGAAATTTTCTTTTATACTCATTATCTCTACATACTCTTCGTGGTGTTTTTCATATTTCATGTTGGTGTCTCTTATGCCTGCATTATGCTTCCTGGATTCTATCTCTTCTTGGTCGATCGTTATCTGAGATTCTTACAATCACGACAAAGAGTTCGTTTAGTTTCTGCCCGTGTCTTGCCATGTGAAACTGTAGAACTCAACTTCTCCAAAGCGCCAGGTAGGTTTACTTTCCTTATCTACCTTACTACAGTTGGTGATTTCAAATTAAGATGATAAAAATACTATGTTTCATTTGTTTACTAGGGTTGAGTTATAATACGACAAGCATTATGTTTGTAAACGTGCCAAGCATTTCGAAGTTGCAGTGGCATCCTTTTACTATTTCGTCTAACAGTAATTTGGAACCAGAGAAACTCAGTATGGTCATTAAAAGTGAAGGAAGTTGGTCCAAGAAACTTTATCAGATGCTTTCATCGCCTTCTTCAATCGATCGTCTCGAGGTCTCTGTTGAGGGACCTTATGGACCTGCTTCAACTAATTTTCTAAGGTTTGCACCTTTGCTTTTGCAATTTGGTTCGCATTTTGAAATTAGTAATTCTCGTTGTTCATAATAATCAATTTCTGTAGGCATGACACACTTGTGATGGTGAGTGGAGGCAGTGGCGTTACTCCTTTTATCTCTATAATTCGAGAACTCATCTTTGCGAGTTCAACAATCAAATGCAAGACTCCACAAGTAATCCTAATTAGTTCATTCAAGAGCTCTTCGGATCTAACCATGTTAGACCTCTTGCTTCCAGTTGCTGGAACCCCACCAGACCTTTCCGATTTGAAACTACAAATTGAGGCTTTTGTAACAAGGGAGAAACAACCTGCGACAGAAAACTCAAAGCGCCCTCAAGCCATATGGTTTAAGCCTAAAGCAACAGATGCACCCATAACTTCAATTTTAGGCCCCAACAGCTGGCTATGGCTTGGCGCAATAATATCATCATCATTTGTCATTTTCCTCATCTTGATTGGGATAATTGACACCTACTACATTTATCCCATTGATCACAACACAAATATGATTTTCTCCAGCTCTATAAGAGAATTCTTGAATATGTTATTTATATGTATCTCCATAGTCGCGACAGCTAGTGCAGCAGTGATTTGGAACAAGAAACAAAATACCATGGAAGCAAAGCAAATACAGAGCATGGAAGGAGTAACTGTAGGTGGATCATCCGACTCTTGGTTCTATAATGGTGATACAGAACTGGAAAGCCTCCCACACCAGTCTGTTGTCCAAGCTACCAATGTGCACTATGGGGAAAGACCCGACCTAAAAAGTAAGTTCTTTCATTGTTGTCATACATATAATCACTAGAATCTTTGTGCCTACAAACAGCTGATTGCTTTATGGTGGGCGTGCAGGAATGCTGTTTGATTGCCAAGGATCGAGTGTTGGAGTTCTGGTTTGCGGACCAAAGAAGATGAGACATGAAGTTGCAACAATTTGTTCATCTGGTCTGGCAGATAATTTGCATTTTGAATCTATTAGCTTCAGCTGGTGATTTGCTCGTCTTCTACCAAGGTTCGTACCACTTTAGGGGTACTTGAATGTGGAGGGTGCAGCATCAATTTCTCTGCTAGATGCACAGTTTGTGTTTAATTTTAGTAAGTGAAGCTGTAGAAGAATAAAATTGTTTTTCAATTTTTTTTATAAATTTTTTTTGTAAGTGTAAATTTCCTTCTGGTGTATGTTGAAAGTTTTCTAGGCATAAAACCATTGCACCTTATTGCGATTAATATAGCCACGTTCTTTGCTAATTGCTAAGTCGATTACTGGGAAAGGTTGATGATAAAAGCAGTGCTTGGAAATTATAACTTGAAAAAACATAAGCAATTACTCGACTGCAGAAAATAAACGGTTGTTTAATAGCAAAACCATGTGAATATTGCAACACGATTTCAAAATATACTCAGACGTGAATATAATTGCTCAACATTCCATTCCATGGATACATTACTATAGAAGAAAATGATTCACAAATATTAGGATACTTTCTTTTGAAATTGATTACAATAAAAATTGAGTCACAATCCAATCTCACAAAATCTCTCTCATGACAACTTCCAATTTTTTGTTGATCAATTTTGAATGTTAAAAAATTTATCAATAAAAAATCGAAAATTACTGCATAAAAGTTGTGAGAGAAAATTTGTGAAATTAGATTGAAAGTGTAGAATTACTATCTATTGTTATTGAATTTGTCCACGGATATAAAATATCTTATTAGAGGGTTTTGATACTTCTTATAGAGATGTTTTATAATAATATTAGGGTTTTGATAATCTAAAAGGGTTTCTAATAATTTAAAAAAATATATAATTCTTTCGTATTAAATGCTAAATAGCATGATCTATTACTGGCAGGACTCAAAGAAGCCATGCGAAAGAAGAAAAAAAAAGTTTTCACTTTTCAGTTCGAGACCCTAAACCTAGCGGTTTTATTTGGGCAAATTGCTTTCATTTATATTTTATACAGACAATTACCAGTATACAAAATTTGAAAAGAATGAGAAATGAAACAGAAATTCCTCTGGAACATTTCACTATGCATTGGCCTCCTTATCTACAAGAACAATTATGTGACTGATGAAAAGGGGAGGTCTTAAGACATTCCCATCTCTTGATTTCCAGGTCAGTAACTTCCATTCCATTGAATAAAGACTATGGGTTCACCCGTTGAAATGGACGACTGACTCCTCGTTCACCGGAAAGGGAACGTCTCATTAGAAAAAATACTCTCGGTAGCCCGTCTGTTGTCAAACAGCATAAGGCTTCACTTCTTAAGTTGCAGACCATCTTCATTTGTCTTCCATATTGGCAACAGATGTAAGTCTCTCCTCCAAGGCTTCAAGCAGATCTTGGTACTCAGCGAATATGGGATGAGACTGAAATAAGTAGATACAAAAATTAAAATATTTACATCTACAAATTACCAATTTTATTCTCATAATCAACAACGTTTTAAAGACACATACCTGTAATGTAATTGCATATGCTTTCCATAACCTCGTATCATGATGGAAAAGATCAAAAAGAACCTGCATAAAACCAGAAGGAAAATCTTAAGTATGCAATCCCGATTTCCATGGTTCAGATAATATTTTAGTTAAAGCGTCAGGGAAATGAAAATGTTAAGCCAAGGCATTCATTATCTAATGCACGATGTTTTAAAGGTATTTTAAGCTGGCAGCTTCATAAAGCTGGAACGTGAAAGACATGTAAAAGTTAGCTTTGGCAAGTACCAGAGTTCTGTTGGATAAATCAATTATTGACTAAATATGGAATGATTTTTTTTCCCTTGATCTCTGCTGGCTGAGATTAGGGATTAAATTAAGGTTCAATCAATCACCTTAATTCATGTGATTGATGGAACAAATTACAGGGATTTTGTATTTATTGTTTTCTTTTTTTACATTTACACAATTGTATAAATTGGCTATTGTACATATTTACAAAATATAATATACACAAAATTCTCTACGTTTCTTTTCTCTTTTCTCTTCTCAGGCATATTCTGGCAGCATAGTCCTGCTTCTCTTTCAAACTCTGACATGGTATCAGAGCCCAGGTTCAGTTGAACTGAGTGTTTGACCAACGGGTGAAGAGTTAGAGTCGATAACTACCTCTAATAATTGGCATGACCCAACATATGAGCTTGATCGCGAGGGAAAGTGTTGGAGTCTCACACCGACTAGGCATGCTCCAACCTACTGATTTATAAGAGGGGGTAATCCTTCCATTCAACAAGGCTTTATTGGGTGAGGAGTCAGACTCACCTCAAATCAATTCTCTTCTGATCTGAATCCAGCTTCCGCATTCTCTCAAATCAACTAGCCATTTTTTTTCTGTCCCTGCAAACAAATAGATACTCAGTTATTGGTTTCCTCTTTATTTTACAACTACTCAAAACTCCAAAATGGAGATAAACCCAAATCCAAATATCACAGATAGCCCAAACACAAGCCCAATCCTCACAGACAATCCATACCCAAACATTACAGACGGCCCAAACCCAACAATCACAGAAGCCCAACATTCCAACCCAAAGCACCAACCTCAACATGATCCAAGCCCAATTACCCACCCATTTGGAATGCCGGGTTACATCCCGGATCCTACACCTCCAATGGGTCTGGGTTCAAACCCAAATCCCTACCCGTTTCCCTTTCACCTGATTCCAGCCATCGGCAACGGCAACAATCGCCCTGTCCTAGGCGATGTGCTCTATGCACACCCCTCTATTGGCCCCAAATTGGTTCTCATCAAGAACACCTTAACAGGTTTCGAAAATTATTCCAGTTGGGCTTGCGATTTTCGCCGAGCCTTGATCACAAAAGATAAACTTGACTTCCTCGATCCAAACTCCCAACCACTGTCTGACTCTCACCTTCAGTGGCACTGGCACCGTTGCAATATGTTGGTTCAATCGTTTCTCAACAATTGTTTGTCATCAGAGGTGGCTGCTGGTCTTCCTCCGACTGAAATCATGGTTGAGATATGGGGAAATATTCGAGAAATGTACGGGAAGCTTGATCTGGCCAAAATTTTCCATCTCCGGTAACAACTTGCCGAGATCAAGTAACAAAACTCTTCGGTAACCTCGTTCTTCAATCAGCTCTCCGCCGTTTGGAATGAGCTTGATGTGATGGAAGAAACCCTAGAAAGGCCACCTGCAACACTTGCACAATGGGCGAGGATTCGCGATCATGACCGATTGAGCCATTTTCTCCTCGGTTTGAATGATGCTTTCCTCGCCTTCCGCAGCCAAGTTCTCGCCACATCACCACCTCCCACTCTCCGGCGAACTTTCCAACTCGCCTTCAAGACGAGAGTCAACGATAGGTAAATGATGGCAATTAGCAGACTCATGGGTTGGCTTTTGCAAGTTATCGATCACCGGAGAAGGAAGGGTTGAATGGGGACATTGGGCAGCTAGGGCAATTGGAAGAAAAACATGTTCTTTTATATGCAGGTCAAAGTGGATCTAACGGTCAGAAACATGTCGCGTCATTCACTTCATCCAATGGCTCACATGATGCCATGTCACGAGGCGGGTCAAATGGGCCAAGCAGTTAGGCTTCTGGGTCAAATCATGGGTCAGACAAACCCAATAGTTGGTCAAATTGGCATACTGGGTCAACCAACCCCAGAAATTCAAAATTGGGCAAGGGTAAACTATTTTGTGAATACTATAAATGGAGGAATCATACTCAGGATCGTTGTTGGCAATTAAATGGGTATCTCAACAACGAAAAACTAGAAATTCTTTAGTCAATCACGTCGATGCTATCCCTACAGAACCTCCAATTGCAGCACCTCTAATCACCTCTAATCAATATCACCACCTTCTCCAAATGCTGAATAAAATCCCAACAGCACCCACAACATCATATGCAGGTATTTCTTACTGCTTAAATTTTATTACAATTGATATGTGGATTATTGATTTAGGGGCTAGTGATCACATTATTTGTGACCCAAAACTTTTCACCACTATATCTACTACCTCATCCACCTCCGTTTGTATGCCGAATGAAAACATTGCCTTAGCCACTCATATAGGGACCGTAAAATTATCTGCACATTTACAACTTACAAATATCTTATGTGTCCCTGCATTCCATTTTAACCTTATCTCCGTATCAAAATTATGTTCTGATAATAGTTGCACTATGAAATTTTGTCATAATACCTGTGAATTTCAGGACGTTTTGACTGGGACATTGATGGGTTTGGGTAAAGCCAATAAAGGTCTGTACTACTGGGTTCCCAATGCGTCTTCTAAAGTTATTTCTCCTTGTATTACATCCAATAAAATGTCCAATTGTAATACAATGCTTAATAAAGCTTCTGTTATTTTCCATCAAAGATTAGGTCACAATGCCACTATCCCTCAACCCAAATGTCAAATATGTCCCTTAGCTAAACAAGCAAGAACTAGTTTTCCACATAGCACATCCACCACCACTCAACCTTTTGCCCTAATCCACCTTGACATCTGGGGCCATATCACACCCCAATCGTGATGGATCTAGATTGTTTCTTACTATTGTTGATGATTTTTCCCAGGGGACATGGACTTTTCTCATGCAATCTAAAACCCAAACACTTACCTACATTAAACACTTTCTCTCTATGGTCAATACCCAATTCCATACATCAGTCCAGCGAGTTAGAACCGACAATTCTAGAGATTTTTTCAACCATAATTGTTCTTCTCTGTTTTTATCCCTTGGCATTCTTCACAAAAGTTCTTACACATATACCCCACAACAAAATGGAGTTGTTGAAAGAAAACACCGTCATCTCTTAGAGGTAGCCCAGGCCCTAAAACACCAAGTCACCATTCCTGTCTCATTCTGGGGTGAATGTGTGATCACAACCACATACCTGATCAACCGCATGCCGACCAGAGTTCTTCACGGGAAAACTCCTTATGAGTTATTATTCAAGAAACAGCCAACCATTGATCACCTCCAAGTATTTGGCTGTCTATGTTATATTACTACTCTTGGCTTTCATGATAAGTTCGGCTCTCGGGCCACCCATTGTATCTTTATAGGCTATCCCATGCTCCAGAAAGGTTACAAACTTTATGATCCAACTAAAGATCGTTTTATAATATCTAAAGATGTTGTGTTTCATGAAGACATATTCCCTTTTGCCAACGCTGACCAGGTTTCATCTTTATCTTCTCAGCTATTTTCTCATGATGATGCTGTCACTTCCCCATATCTTCTTTTTTTCTATGATACCTATTCTTGAGGCTCCTTAGCAACCTATTATTATTGATTCTGATACTGATTCAGCAGCCACTGACAATATTCCAGCAGAGTCTTCTCCTCCCGATTCTCCTCCACAGTCTCCTGATTTAGTTCCACCTTTACCCATCCGCCGCACTGCTCGTCAGACTCGACCACCAATCTGGACAGCTGATTATGAGTGTCCTACTATATCACATTCTTCAGGTACTTGATATCCTATCTCTAATTATGTGAATATGATCGTCTTTCTCCCACCGAGTTTGTATCAGTCACATCTCTGCTGACCGAGAACCCACTTGTTACTTAAATGCTGTCAAATATTCCCACTGGCGTCAAGCAATGGCTGATGAACTAGCCGCCTTGAATTAGAATCACAGATGGGATTTAATTCCTCATCCTACTCATAAAAAACCCATTAGCTGCAAATGGGTCTGCAAAATCAAGCACCGTGCCGATGGGTCAGTTGAGCGTTACAAAGCCCGTTTAGTGGCTAAAGGGTTCACTCAATGTGAGGGGTTTGATTATCAGGAAACATTTTCCCCAGTTGCCAAACATGTCACTGTCCGTGCCTTCCTTACAGTTGCTTCAGTTCACGATTGGTCTCTACATCAAATGGATGTTCATAATGTTTTTCTTCACGAGGACCTCCATGAAGAAATCTATATGGATCTTCCTCCGGGAATTTGCAGACAAGGGAAGCAGAAAGTATGTCATCTGTGAAAATCCCTTTATGGTTTAAAGCAAGTATCCCATCAATGGAATGATAAATTCATAGCAACTCTCACTGACATAGGATTTTTTCAGTCTAAACATGACTATGCATTGTTTACTTGACATAGAGGTAAAACATTTATTGCTCTAATTATCTATGTCGATGACATTCTCATTACAGAAAATGATGAAGTAGGCATCAAATCCTTAAAACAACATCTCAACAGACAATTCTAAATAAAGGATCTGGGAAAGCCAAAATATTTTCTCGAAATCGAAATTGTAAGATCTCCAGTAGGGATATCTCTTAGTAAATGAAAATATGTCTTAGAACTCATTTCTGGTTCTGGGCTATCAGGATGCAAGCTAAGTGTTATTCCAGTAGAACAGAACACCAAGTTAACCAGTCAAGAATATGATAGTGGGACATCATCCTCAGAAAATGATCCACCTTTGGAAAATCCTACAAACTATCAAAGACTTGTTGGCCGACTAATTTACCTCACAATGACTCTACCAGACATCAGCTATGCGGTTCACATTCTTAGTTAGTTCATGCACAGACCTAAACAATCTATCATGGATGCAACAATAAAGGTATTGAAATACTTAAAAGGGTGTCTTGTTATGGGGCTTCTCATTCCTCGTAACAAAGGCTTAGATATCACAGCACATTGTGATTCAGACTGAGCTACATGTCCGATGACAAGAAAATCACTCATTGGGTTCTGTATGAAGCGAGGGGGAGCACTTATTTCTTGGAAAACCAGGAAACAAACTACTTTATCCCTCTCTTCAGCAGAAGCCGAATACAAAGCCATGGCAAAGACAACATGTGAGATCATCTGGATTCTGGGGTTACTGAGAGATTAAGAAGTGCAAGTAAGTAAACCAATTTTTTTTATACTATGACAACAAAGCTGCAAACGATATTACAGCAAATCCAGTATTTCATGAAAGAACGAAACATATAGAAATTGATTGCCACTTCGTCAGGAGCAAAATACAAGAAGGGGTAATTAAGACTCTACACATTAGTACTTCTAAACAACCAGTAGACATCTTCACAAAGTCATTATGCAGCAGACAACATTCACATCTACTTAGCAAGCTTGGAGTTTTTGACATCTACAAACCACAAGCTTGAGGGGGAGTGACGAAATATGGAATTATTCTTTTCCTTTGATCTCTGGTGGTTGAGATTAGGGAGTAAATTAAGGTTTAATCAATCACCTTAATTCATGTGATTGATGGAACAAATTATAGGGATTTTGTATTTATTGTTTTCCTTTTTTACATTTACACAATTGTATAAATTGGCTATTGTACAGATTTACAAAATATAATACACACAAAATTCTCTATGTTTCTTTTCTCTTTTCTCTTCTCAGGCATATTCTGGCAACATAGTCCTGCTTCTCTTGCCTTCTCTTTCAAACTCTGACAATTATACCTCAGATCGTCTTAAAAGAGTGGCAAGAACAACTATCCATTCTTTGAACTTGATAGAGCACATATGAGCCAAGAGAAATTTTGCATCCAACCTGCTCTGCAACGTACCCATTTGAAGCTGTAAAAGAAAAGAAAAAAGAGGGAAAGAGAGAGAGTCAATCAGAAACCAAATAAAATTTGTTACAGTGGTTTTTAATACACTGAAAAATCTTCATTTGGCACCCATTTTTTAATACAGATATTGGGCTTCACGTCACCCAAAAAAAAAAAATTTCTCCTTCTCAGAGTAAATACACTTGATAAGTTGATCCTCCTAACTTTCATAAGTTAATGAGTTAGATATATGGCAATTTTTTCCTGCTCTAATTTGTTTGTCCAGATAAAACCCTAGTGACTACCTTTCAGAAAATTTAAATTTATAGGAATGTTAAAGAAGAGAGGCCTTTAATTACTAATAGACATTTTCAACTATATCATAAGACCATAATGATGAGACAATAATGAACTCAACTATCGAATGAAAATCATGTACGGAAAAGAAATTTAGGTTTGACATTGAATAGAAGAGAAGTAGGCTTACAGGCTCTGACTACTTGTTGTTGTAGATTTTCGCAAGTGTACGAAATCGTGCAAGTAATAAAGTGTAAAATTACGGATATCGAACCCAAGGGAATTACTATTATCAATTACCAATTAAACTATCCTATCACTATTTGATCAATCCAAATTGTATCAAGAAAAATCTAAACTAAATTAACGATTGAATTTAAAAAGAAAACTGAAAAGAGAACAATTAAAATAAACCTTTGGGTAAAAACAAGATGACTAGACTTAGGGCATAGACTTCACACCAACTCTTATTCATACGTATCGATCTCTTATGCTAATTTTGTTAAGCTCTTCCTATAGGTCAAACTCCCTAAATTTCCAATAACTTTCTCTCAAACAATTATCAAATTAACCCCTAATTACTAACCCGAATTATCTCTAATCAGATTTAAGCAATTGGAGATCATTACACTCTATGGATTTTACCAAAACCTCACAAATCGCGGTAACCTATCTCTAGCGTTTGCTTAACCTATGGTTTTACTACCGTAGACCAACTAGGTATCATCTCTCGATCTCAACTTAGTCCATTAGTTCATTCAATTCTTGGGCCCTTAAGAATCAAAAGCATTAGGAATAATAGTAAAACTTAGGAAAAGTTCTTAATAAAAATTAGCAATCAAAGATCAATACATAATCAAGAGATTGGGCTACATCTTAGCCCTGGAGAATAAATTTAGTTCATAATAAACATGAAAGAAACAATCATTTTTATTAAAACAATCATCATGAGTTTATAAGAAAAGAACAAGAAGAACTTCTCTATATTGTGAATCAAAGCTCCAGAACTTCTGTTACTTCTCTTCTCTGTAGATTTTTCTCCTCTTTTTCTTCCCAAAGAATCCCCCAAATAATGCTAAAAGACTTCTCTTTATATCCCACAACGGTTAGGGTTTTATTTTTCTTAATTCTATTTGGTTTAGGACTCTTAACCCTATTCTCCTACCTAAAAATGGATAAACAGTTTTTAACTTCTGTGACTGTGCCCTGGCACTATGCTGCAGCACATTAGCTACTAGAAAAAGTGTGCCACGACACTGTGCCGTTGCACAGTAGCTACTGGCCTTCTTCCCGCATCATTCCACTATTCTTTAGAGATGGTAATTTTTGAACTCGATAACGATGAAATTTTGAAAAGTGGTAAACGTAAACATATGAAATGTATCCCTTTGAATCAGCTTTCCAACAGTCTAAGAATCATGTTAATCCGAGTTCTAAAACTCAAGATATTCTCAAAATACTGAGGTATGTTCAAGCTGGAACGTAATCTAGAATTTTCTCTTTAGTTCAACTTCCATAACTTCTTCAATTCAACTTCGATTATTGATCTGTTTGTTTTCACTCGTCACTCATTCCATTTCCAACATGATTCTTCATCCAACCATAACATTTAAGCACTAGTAGCTTGAAAAACACTCAAAAACACCCGTGATCCCATAAAAGGCAATTATGAAAATATTAAGCAACTTTACCAAATTAAGCCTAATTTCCCACAATTAATCCCCATAAACCACTAACAAAATGTGTATTTTCAAGCTTTTATCACAACCCCCAACCAGCTTCTTGCTAGTCCCTAGCAAGCTAAGCGATAGAACAAGTCCTTTAGCTTGAAAACACAAACAAAATAAAGTCTATATCTAAACTATCCTAAATCACTTCCGTAGATTGTCACGGTTGCATTTAGCATATGCAACAAGCCTTTAAACCCCTAGGCGGCCCTAGTTGGATGAGTTGTAGTCTCGTGAGGGTTTCCAGCGATGATACCTACAAACATCCAAACCTAACCTCACCTAGACTCAAAACTAAAGACTTAAACAAACATTTTAGGATCTATACATATAATCGTCTCAAAAATTGTGTCAATGTGAACAGATCGAATAATTAACAACATGCAAATGCAAAGGATAAGTGAATTTCAACTACATTTTTGTTATTGACTCTCTCCTAATCATTCACAAACCATTCATCCAAAAACCCAGATGATTTTATATGTAGCTTCCATAGGCAAAGTACGAAAATAAAACAAATGTGCAATCAAACTCCATAGGCTCACTTTTCAAACTACTCTCCACTAATGTAGAATCCAATCACTACCTCGGATCATTAGGTCTTTTTCATAGTTGTAACGTTAGGCCAGGGTAATGGTTTATGAAAGAACAGAAAGGAATTTTTAACAAAATGTAAGAGACTTAATATTTTACAGTAAATGATCATGAACAATCTCTTTCTTGCTTCCCTTCTCATTTGCCCTCTACCCTTTCACATTGATTGAACTCTTCTTTCCAACATTAGCACAAACTCCCATGTAATGTACCTCATTTCAAGTTCTTCTCCCCAGCTACATCTTCCTATTTTTCTGCCAATTTTTCTTTATTTTCATTTTTTTAGGAAGATAGTAACTCAAAAAAAAATTCGTCTACCCCACCTTGCTTCTACTATCATTTTTTTTTCTTTTCACAACCCCCAACCTATCTCATTGTACATACTCAGGTTGTGGTCCAAAATATATATTTATTTTCTTTACCACACTTCTTTTCATTAGTTTTTCTTATAAGGTCACCCCAAATTAAGTCTCTCACAATAAAATGGGCCGGAAAGTGTTTTAGGCTTCATTGTCAAGGTGAGATATAGTAGGTTTACAACAAAAAAGAGTAAGGCTTACCAAGTGTATAATAATATGCTCAAAGGGTTAACTAGGGATAAAGTAATATAGGTTAGCTTGAAAGGCTCAATTGTTCTAAAGAAAATTGCCTAAATCATATCCTAGGCAATGCGGATTCTAGGATTTCGCCTCAAGTGGTTATCAAATGAGTTCTAGAGTTTATGCACAATTTTCACAAAAAAAAAATTATTACCCATAAAAACACACATAAAACATCTCTAAGTTTCCAAATTATTAAACCAATCAAACCCATTCCCAAGAGAGTCATAACTAAATGCAATTGTCATCCACTATCATCCTTACACTACGCGAAAGTTAATAAAATCTCAATGTTATAAATTCACAATCTGGTCTTATCATTAACTTATGTATGAGTTCCAAAACAAAACAAAATACATTAACTCTTTGACCCTACAAGACACCTAAAACAATTCCACCCAAAAGCTTTTAAGCAGATAATTCAAAGCAAAAGGTATTCAAAGATGTCCATCGAATGAAACTAAATTTGGCCATAAAAAAAAGGTATTCCTTACCCCCAACGTTAGAGATGAACATTGTCTTCAATGTACAAAGAGAACAACTACAATGCCTTTCGTGTTCAAGATGAACGTGGAGATAATCACGTGAAGGCATGCATAACGTTTGCCGTGTCTAATAGTCATTGGAAATCTAGTAAAAAAAACAAACTATGTGCCTTTCTTGGCCAATTAAGTGTGCATAACAGAAATAATGGGTGAAACATAAACAACTAACATATCAAACCAAACCAAAGTTATCACAACTTACACATTAACCGAAAATCTAAAATAAATTCAAAATTAAAGTAGAGAGCTTGGGTTGTTTCCCAAGAAGCGCTTTATTAGAGTCGTAAACTCGACTTTTCAAATCCTTCAATCTGGATCATCTAGGAAAATCCAAACTCTTCTATCTTTAATGCTACCATCTACATAAAGCTTCAATTGCTCTCTTTCCCGCTTATTCTCAATTTCCTCCTCCAAAGTCCTAAAATTGACAACACATTTTTCTAGGGGTAAACGAGGGTATTTTTCTTCTAAGGTCTCAGCTACTTTATCATCAAGGATGCTAATCTCAAAGCAAGTATCTAACTTGGGTGGACATTTCATAGTATCAAAAACATTAAATTCAACTTGTTCATCCTCTACCCTCAAGATTAGTTTTCTTTATGAACATCTATCAGCGTTCTACTCGTAGCTAGAAAAGGTCTTCCTAAAATTAGAGGCACCTCCCGATCTTTTTCCATATCTAATACAATAAAATCTACCGGGATAAATAGTTTATCTACTTTTATTAAGACATCCTCTACTACTCTCCTGGGGTATTTTATAGACCTATCAGCTAATTGAAGATGGATTGTGGTTGGTTTTACTTCCCCTAGGCCTAGTTTCTTATAAATTGAAAATGACATGAGGTTAACACTAGCTCCTAGGTCACATAAAACTTTAGCAAAATGAACATTACCTATTGTGCAAGGAATTGTGAAAGTCCCTGGATCTCTAAGCTTTTGTGGTAATTTCTTCAATAGCAACGCGCTACACTCTTCTATAAGCATCACCGTCTTATGTTCTTCAAACCTCCTCTTTTTGGTGATAATCTCCTTCAGAAACTTCGCGTACTTCAACATTTGCTCCAACATGTCTACAAAAGGAATGTTAATGTGTAAAGTTCTAAACATGTTCGTAAACTTATCGAATTGCTTATCCAATCTCTGATTTTGCACTTTGTGAGGATAGGGGAGGGTCGTGTCATCATTTGTCGCAACATGGGCATTTTTGTCAATTTTTGCCCCTGTGCCGCAACACAGTGTTGCGGCACACTTGGTTCTGCCCTCTTTTTCATCTTCAAGTTTTTCCTTTGTTTCTCCTTCTTTGCTTGCTTCCTTCAACTCCTTACCACTTCTCAGCATGATAGCATTGACTCTCTCCTTCAGATTCTTATCAGTATTAGTCGGCAATGTTCCTTGAACTCTTCCTACTAAAATATTGTGGATTTGCCCCATTTGAGTTTCAAGATTTCTTATGGAAGCGGATTGGTTTTGCAATAAAACTTCATACTTTTGGAGTTGACTTCATTCTTGTCAAATCTTTTTCCGGACTCCTCTATGAATTTAGTGAGCACACTCTCCATATTAGATCTCTTCTCTTGAGGTTGGAAGCTTGGTGATGGTTTGTGCTCATTGTTGTTACTCCACGCGAAGTTTAGATGATTTTCCCATGCTGGAGTATATGTGCTTAAGTATGGATTCCCTTGCCCTTTTTGAAAATTGTTGACATAATGCACTTGTTCAGGTTGAGCAAACAGACTTCCTTCTTGGCAATCTCTAGATATAAATGATTTCCTGCTCAAAATTCACATGTTAGAGAATGAGTTTTAATAGCATTTACGTTTAGAGCAACTCCCAATTGCTTTTGAATGGCTGAAAGTTGAGTAGCCAACGCGGTGTAGCCATCGACTTCATACACTCCTGCTACTCTGCTAGGAGCATTCCTTTCCAAAGGTCTCATGTAATTGTTGCTTGCCATCACCTCAATCCATTTATAGGCTTCCTTTGGTGTTTTATTATTCAAAGCTCCCCTACTTGCAGCATCAATCATCACTTGTATATTTGGCAGCAACCCATTGTGAAACGTCTGCACTTGCGACCATATTGGCAGCCCATGGTGAGGACACCTCCGTAAGAGATCCTTATATCTCTCCCAAGCTTCATAGAGTGACTCCATATCTTGCTGGAAAAAATTAGTGATGTCACTCCTCATCTTAGCAGACTTGACAGGTGGGAAATATTTCGTAAGGAATGCTTGAGCTAACTCATTCCATGTAATAATACTTCATAATGGCAGAGAAATCAACCAAGCCTTAGCTTTATCCCCAAGAGAGAAGGGGAAAAGTCTAAGCCTAATTGCATCATCAGATACTCTATCGTGTTTGAATGTGTCGCATAGCTCTAGAAAGTTTGTGATATGCAGGTTGGGATCATCATTAGGTAACCTTGCAAAGTGAATCGAATGTTGTATCAATTGAATAATTCCTGGATTTATTTCAAAAGTATTTGCTTGAATTGGTGGCCTCCTTATGCTAGAATAGCACCCTTCAACAGTAGGACTAGAGTAGTCCTTCAATACTCTTTGAACAATTTCAACTCCTGTATCAGCCATTGAACTAACTCCTCTGTACAATTCAACACTAAAAATATAGAACTAAAAAATAAAATAATTAAAAAAAATATAATACAAACCAAATTAGCAACTAAACAACTTGTATTGATATTGATAATATAAAAGCAATTCTCCGAAAACGGCGCCAAAAACTTGTTATAGATTTTCACAAGTGTACGAAATCGTGCAAGTAATAAAGTGTAAAATTACGGATATCGAACTGAAGGGAATTACAATTATCAATTACCAATTAAACTATCCTATCACTATTAGATCAATCCAAATTGTATCAAAGAAAATCTAAACTAAATTAACAATTGAATTTAAAAAGAAAATTGAAAAGAGAACAATTAAAATAAACTTTTGGGTAAAAACAAGATGACTAGACCTAGGGCATAGACTTCACACCAACTCTTATTCATATGTATCGATCTCTTATACTAATTTTGTTAAGCTCTTCCTACAGGTCAAACTCCCTAAATTTTCAATAACTTTCTCTCGAACAATTATCAAATTAACCCCTAATTACTAACCCGAATTATCTCTAATCAGATTTAAGCAATTGGAGATCATTACATTCTATGGAGTTTACCAAAACCTCACAAGTCACGATAACTTATCTGTAGCGTTCGCTCAACCTATGGTTTTACTACCGTAGACCAACTAGGTATCATCTCTCGATCTCAACCTTGTCCATTAGTTCATTCAATTCTTGGGCCCTTAAGAATCAAAAGCATTGGGAATAATAGTAAAACTTAGGAAGAGTTCTTAATAAAAATTATTAATCAAAGATCAATACATAATCAAGAGATTGGGGTACATCTTAGCCCTAGAGAATAAATTTAATTCATAATGAACATGAAAGAAATAATCATCTTTATTAAAACAATCATCATGAGTTTATAAGAAAAGAACAAAAAGAACTTCTCTATATTGTAAATCAAAGCTCCAGAACTTATGTTACTTCTCTTCTCTGTAGATTTTTCTCCTCTTCTTCTCCCCAAAGAATCCGCCAAATAATGCTAAAAGACTTCTCTTTATATCCCACAATGGTTAAAGTTTTATTTTTCTTAATTCTATTTGGTTTAGGACTCTTAACCTTATTCTCCTACCTAAAAATGGATAACCAGTTTTTAACTTTGGTGACTGTGCCCTGGCACTATGCTGCGGCACATTAGCTATTGGAAAAAGTTTGTTGCGGCACAGTAGCTACTGGTCTTCTTCCCGCATCATTCTACTATTCTTTAGAGATGGTGATTTTTGAACTCGATAACGATGAAATTTGGAAAAATGGTAAACAGATGAAATGTATCCCTTTGAATCAGCTTTCCAACAGTCTAAGAATCGTCTTAATTTGATTTCTACAACTCAAGATATTCTCAAAATACCGAGGCATGCTCAAGCTAGAATGTAATCTAGAATCTTCTCTTTACTTCAACTTCCATAACTTCTTCAATTCAACTCCAATTCTTGATCCGTTTGTTTTCACTTGTCACTCATTCCGTTGCCAGCATGATTCTTCATCCGACCATAACATTTAAGCATTATTAGCCTGAAAAACACTCAAAAACACCCGTGATCCTGTAAAAGGCAATTATGAAAATAGTAAGCAACTTTACCAAATTTAGCCTAATTTCCCACAATTAACCACTAACAAAATGTGTATTTTCAAGCTCTTATCACTTGTGTCCTATTTCTGAGATAATTTTGCAACAAAATATACATACTTAATGTATGCAAATCCAATAACTCAAGAAAACAGTAAGCCAACTTGAAAAGATAATTAGGCACAAAATGAGAGATTGATGATAAATTGATACCTTTTGCCCAATTAGTTCAAGCCCTGAAGCAAAATTCTCTAAGCGGGCACTACCATATCTTTCTCGTTGAAGATATTCCTGTAGTAAATGATAGCAAAGCTCTATGATCACTTTAATCTACGTCACAACCCAAATGGACATTGTAAGCTATTCTTACCACTAAATCAAACTGAGTGCCTTTTACAAATGCAACAAGCTTGGAAAGTTCGTTCCCCGACATCAAATAGCTAGCATGACTTTCTAAAATGTTCTTAACAAAAGCAACAATAGGACTCTGCTCCTTGAATGAGGTGTTGTCCAAAAGAAGAAAAGCATACTAAATATAATTGGAAATGTTAAGATGCAGGGTTCAGATGCATGCCAAACATCACAAGAAAGCAAATTAACCTTTTATCCAAAGATGGCCTCCTGTAACTAGAAGAAAAAATAAAATAGCCCAAGAATCTGGGTGATAATTTTTCTGAATCAGTTGATGCTGGTTCAAATTCCCTTCCAGATCTCAGTAAGAATCTCACCTAAACATCAAATATTTAAACAAAAAAAAGAAAAAGGTTATTAACCATATAATTTTCCAGTTGAGCAAAAATCAATTATTATGTCCAAACTGATACCAGTTCCCCAACAAGTTCATATAAACATTCATCAAGTGTTGCCTGCATAGTATTAACAACCTTGGTCAGAATTAAGTCATGAAGCGACAATGAAAAAAGAGAACAAAATTTGAAACCGACAAGAATAAATCGAACCTGTAATAAACGTAAAGCACAATATTGATTGACAACAGGACCTTCAAGTTTAATAATCACCTGTTGTTAGTAAACAATCCCGTATACGCAGTGGAAACAAAAAATTATAATATAACAGGATCGTTTACATGAGCCAAGATCAAGGGTATGATTTTACAATTTATATTAAATAAAATCTGCATAAATATTCAACATGAGTTAAGAGAAACAAACGCATGTTTGGAGGCTCCACCACGATTGTCGTTGAACGTTTTGCTATTGATCCAAGTGTAGGATCGAACCCACGTAGTCCACACGAAGACAAACTCAAAAGAACCAAAGAGGGATTTGCTAGATCCTCTTTGGCTTCAAGATTAAGAAGAAAGTAAAATCAATTGAATTGATTTTAGGCCAAACAAATTTTCTGCTGTGGGAGTGTATTCAAAATGGGCTGTTGTGTGTGTTTTTCTTTTAGAAAGAAATCAATTCCTCAATTAATTAACACACACACTTTTCTTTTTATAGTTAATCAATTTGCCCTAATCCCATACGAAATAGGATTGGGCTCCAACCCAAACGCCCCATGTTGCCAAACACTCCTAATTTGATTTATTTTATTTTCCATCATTATCTCAATTAAAATCAATTAATATATATATTTAAATATATATTAATATTTAACAATAATGATAATGTATTTAAATATGTGCGAACACACATTTAAACGTAATTTCACTTATTTAATTTTTCTAACAAATTAAATAAAGGCTACGACCTCAGCAAATTTAATTACACTGTGAAATTACCAAAATACCTTTTCGCCTTAAAAGATGAAAACACCCTTCTTTCTTTTTGGATCTTAAATTATCTTCTATGTGTATGACCCATAGGCTCCTCATCATATCGGCAGTGTATAGTATCGCGCTTAACACCAATTAATCGTCTCACTAATACACAGACCAAGATTGGCCCCTAGCAAGGCATCATGGTCACCCGATAGATTCGGATTCAGCAAAATAGCTACTTGTTCAACGATATGGTTACCATATAATTCGATCATTTCATCATACATTATCTCGACGAGACGAAGGCATAGAAATAGTGTTAACCTTCGGTTACTCTCGATATTATTTATTCAGTTTCTGGACCAATGACCTGTATTATAAACTGGATAGAGCAATAACTCAATCCCACTATGGCCACAGTTTTAGTGTCATTGCCATATACTGAATTGCGCCGTAAGATAACTTTCTCCCATACCCGGGAGTGATGAATCCTCTGTCAATCCACCATAGTCTTGATACACTCCTTGATGCAGCCAATCACCACCATATTGACAGCTCTGAAAAGAACTGCGTTAGGCTAGTGTCAAACTACACCAATCGGTGCACAAGGCGCTCTGGTGATCTCAAGTCTAAGGATCACATGCACCACCATTCGTTAGAGGATTTGTTCCATAGACACTGGGGTTACCATCCATATGGAATCCTCTGGTGGGTCAGTCAAGTGAACTTGCTACGGTATAATCGCCTACAGCAAGCACCCATGTGTTGCACCAGGTTGTTACCAAACAACCTTGACAAGTGAGATCAGTCACTGTCTTTTGACAGGGTCGTTCAACACTATGATAGCCTTACCGTATTATCTATGCCCTTACTTCAGAATAATATTTGGGCTACGGACTTTTCTATAATGTTCACCATATGTGCTCATAGGGTTCTCACTATCAAGATTTGAAACACTTGATACCCTCGTCACGGTTCTACCATTCTAAGGACATATATCAATACATATTGCAATAGTAATGATTTACGCGATATAGAATAAAATACCTTTTTATTGATTAATGAACATTATAACAAAGAGTCAATTCTACAATAATTGATTGACTCTAGGGCATTTACTCTAACACCTGTGACAATCATATTGGAAATGGAAAGATTATATTTTGTCATGGCATTTTTCCAGCTTTAATGCACATATAATCACATTTTTTCACTGAAATTTATAATGCAAAAGGAAAACCTAGTTCCCGATTCCCACTTGTTGTTCATAACTCCATAACACTATTTATCTCCTCCAACCAACATGAAAACACACTTCTTGTACGAATTATAGTCTATCATGAAAATAGTTCAAAGATTTCAACCTAGAAATGCCCTTATTCAGTGCAAAAATGCTATATACACCGAAAGATGGTACCGAAAATTTGCACAGAAATATGTGGTAATTGACTCGAACGTCGCCATGTAAGACGATAATATACTTTCGTAAATGGATGGCCATCCAACATTTTCTGATTGTCGTCCATACTTCCTGGACGGCCATTCATTGTGGAATGGACAAGAGTCCATAAAGTCCATAAAAAGTATTTAAAAAAAAATAAAAAAACAATGGACTCCCGTCCAAATCCTAGGGACAAGCGTCCCGTTAATATGGACAGCCGTCCAAAAAGCACTCTAGATGGATGACCGTCCATCTATTGTGGATGGTCATCCACATGAGATGGACTGGCGTCCATCCTTTGTGAAATTTAAAAAAAAAAAAAAATTAAAATATAATGCACACAATATGGACGCAGTCCATCCAATGTGGACGGTCGTCTGCATTACATGGATTGGCGTCCATACTTTGTTAAAAAAAAAAAATTGTTATAAAAATCAATAGCTTGTCTAATACGCTTTACAAATAAGCGCCAATTTTTTTGGTGAAATAATAAAGGAAAAAAAAACTTTCATTTTTATTTGTTTTTCTTCTCTTCTCTTCTCTTCTCTTCTCCTTACTTCGACACCGGTTTCTTCCTCAACAGCCAAGTAGCAGCAGCAACACCTCTTTTTATAGAGATAACCATTTAGCATAGAAACGAAAATAAGGATATCAAACATTTTAAAGCTCCGAAATATTTGTTAAGGTAAAGAATTTTGACTTATTTTATATATTCATTTAGTTTCATATTCTATTTTGGATTGAATATATGTTACAATACAAAATAATTGATAGATAATATTTGTTGACAACTGTTGTGAACTAGATTCGTGAACGCGAAAACTGGTATTAGTTGTGCATGAGATTACGGAATATGGAAGAGTCCAATTTGACTTGTTTCAATGATGTTGAGGTAAATTGTGTTCGAAACTATTTTAAATATGTTGTATTGTATTGTTTATTATGATGTGTTGTATTAGTACATTCTAATTTTATTTATTATAAAACCATTGAATTAGGAAAATGAATGTGATGAATTAGAAGATATAGGATGTGTAGAGGAAGAAGTGGAGCCTCATATTGGAATGGTGTTTGACTCAGTTGATAGTTTGGTGAAGTATTACAGAAGGTATGGGAATAAAAGGGGTTTTGAAGCAATGATACGTACGTCAAAGAAAGGAGATGATGGGGAGATGAGATACGTGACAGTGGCGTGTTCTTGTTATGGGAAGAAGAAAAGCAAATCCAGAAATCCTTGAAAAAACAACCTGTTGCGAAAACAGATTGTAAGAGTCGGATTAGTGTAGCTTTGAATGGTGAATACAAATAGGAAATTAAATAAATTGTGCTTGAACATAACCATGATCTTACAAGTCCAACGAAAAGAAGATATTTCAAGGTAAACCGAATGATACAACCTTTTGTGAAAAGGAGGCTTGAAGTTAATGATCAGGCCGGGATTAGACCATGTAAAAATTTTTAGTCATGTTCAGTTGAGGCAGGAGGTATAGAGAATTTGACGTTTCTACAAAAAGATTGTAGGAACTACATTGAAAAAGTTAGAAGGCTACGACTTTGAGTTGGAGATGCTTCTGCAGTACTAGAGTATTTTATGAAAATGCAAAATGAGAATTCAAATTTTTGGTATATGACTGATGGAGATAAAGAGAGTCAATTAAAGAATGTGATATGGGTTGATGCTAGAAGTAGGGGCGCATATAAAGATTTTGGTGACGTTTTGACCTTCGACACAACGTATCTGACGAACAAATATGATATGTCATTTGTTGCTTGTGTGGGGGTTGATCATCATGGACATTCAACATTGTTAGGTTGTGGGTTAATTTCCCATGAGGACACAGAGACATTTGTATGGCTATTTCGTTCTTGGCTTGAATGCATGGATTTTACTCCTAATGGAATTATCACTGATCAAGATAAGGCCATGCAAAATGCAATTGAGATTGTTTTCCCCGGTACAAGACATAAGTGGTGTTTATGGCATATAATAAAGAAACTGCCTGAGAAGTTAAGAGGGTATAAGGAATATAAAACTGTAAAGTTTACGTTACACAATATTGTATATGATTCGTTGACACATAAAGAGTTTGAAGAACGGTGGAACAAATTCATTGATGTGTATAATGTGGATTGTACAAAGAAATAGTATGTTGGGTGCCTGCATTTCTTAAAGATGCTTTCTGGGCAGCTATGTCCCTTACCCAACGTAGTGAAAGTATGAATGCATTTTTCGATGGATATGTAAATTCCAAAACAACATTGAAACAATTTGTGGAACAATATGATAATGCATTGCAAGATAAAGTGGAAAAGGAAAGGGAAACTTATTTTAGATCTTTCAAGTCTTGGATACCATGCATAAATAATTACCCTATTGAGAAACAATTTCAAAATGCATACACAATTACAAAATTTAAAGAGTTTCAAGAAGAGATTGCGGGGAAGATTTATTATGAATTATCTTTTCTGAAAAAGTCTTATTCGTATGAGGAGTATCAAGTTTTAGAAGATATTTGGTTTGGAGATAGTAATCGGCGTGTTTCCTTTCTGGTATACTTTGAAGAAAGTTCATGTGATATTCGTTGTAATTGTCATTTGTTAGAGTTCAGAGGGATTTTATGCAAACATGCCATTATTGTGTTGATTCATAAAAGGGTTTCACACATTCCAGATAAGTACATTCTACGGCGTTGAAGGAAAAACATAAAAAGATCTCATACAAAAATCAAGGTAAGTTATAATAGGTGGAGCATCAATGTTAAA